AGATTAGCAAGTTTCTGGATCAGGCAGGTGGCAAGCTTGATTATCGACGCTACGGCGAAACTCTTTTTGATATCCTCATCGCTGGCGGCATTTTAGGTACGGATGTTCTAAATTTTCATGGTCATTTTCGTTATTCGGAAGTCACGACGATTTTTGTGTGTGCCTTGATCGGATAGTTGCCATTTCGTCATTTTATCGCACATTACGTGCGTTCGTAGAAGTACCGTAGATGGAAAAATCTGTCTCGCTAAGATGTTATGAAGATCCAACGAATCTAAGCCGCGTAGGGCATGTTACTGATCCATGAATCGGTTATATCGAAGAAATTCTTGAAAATGTTCCATTCATTGGTTTCAGAGAAACAAGAGATACAGCAAATTTATCGGTGATTGGTGTCATTCTGTCGAACGGGTTTTTGTTGAGTGTGGTTTTGATATCCGTGTTTTCTGCGCAGCCCCCGGCGGGAGCCTAGTTCAAGATGCAGACGCAAACAAGCCTGTATCGACGAAAATCTGCCTATTCCATCAGAATGAGGACACGGACTCGATCCGGTCATTTGCACAGGTGTTCGTTAAGTTGATGCGACGCTACAAGTATCTCGAGAAGATGTTTGAAGAGGAGATGAAAAAAATCCTTGTTTTCCTGAAAGGATTCGAGGATGCTCAACGACACCGACTTGCCAAGGCTACTGCTTTCTGGCTGGCCAGCTCGACTCTCCCTCCCACGTGTCTCATAAACTTGCTGCAGGTTTGTTTGATGATGGCTTTTGCGGGATAAATGTTATCTGTCTGTATTTCCTTTGTGCTACTGGGGGTGTGTTCATCCGAGCAGCAGGTAAAGCTCGGGCGCATCCGCAACGCGCGATTTTGAGTGGCTGAATGTTGATCTTTTGCTTGTTCACGTCCACAGGAGCACCTGGTGAAAGATGGAATTGCTTTGGAATTCTTGCTTGAAGTCGTTTGCACTTGGAAGCAAGAGAAAGATATAACCAGCTTGAAAAACGCGCTGAAGAAGGCTGGAATTGACAACAGGTGAGTTAAATTCAGGCGGACTCTCCAGGGACCCGAAAACATTCGTTGTTGGGAGTACAGCTGTAATACTTCTTATGTAATGCTTCTGGAATTTTGTAAAGGGGCTAGATTGCATTCACCATTTCTGTGGCCGTATTAACGCAAGATTACGTTGCCATCATTATGAAAACGATTCGCTGGCGAATTATTGAACCATTTTTTAATAACTGTGCAGTGATAGGCTTGACATGCTTCAGTTCTTGCTAATAATTGCTTTTAGAGAAATTATTTTTTATGTTGGAATTAGTTGAACCTGCTTTACTCGAACCTCCCGAATTCGAATTCTCTTTCCAAGTCCCTGACCAAATTCTTTTCATAACTACGCATCGAAAACCTCCTTAACTCCCTAAGTTTTTCCCTTTCAAACCTCCATATCTCGAATTTTATGGAGCCCTTTTGGCCATTATTTTATTGACACAGGAAAGAGAAAATAATTAAAATAGTAAATTCATGTGTTGAGAAAGTTGATGACAAATAGGCAAATGAATCCTTGCCTCGAAGTTCTGCGTCATGTCTACTTATTCATGATACAATTTAAGCCTCAGAATATCACCAATTACAATTTTCTGTTTTTCGTATTCTTTTCCCCCGAGAAAATGCTTGTTTCCCTTACTCGAATTTTATTTTTGCTGGCCTGGAAGAAGTTTGACTTATTTATTGACGTTTTTACGCATTTCAAGGCTGATGGAATTCTTCCCACCCAATAAACGGAGCACGGACTATTTCAAGAGCGTGTTCGAAGAAAAGGGACTCTTGGAAATCGTCGCGTTCCATAATTTGCAAGCCCACACTGAGACCAAGAAACTGATGCAAAAGGAATTGGACAGGATGATTAAGGATGAGGAAGCTCCGAAGCAACTCACTACCTACATCAAGGACACGATGGGCAAGTGCAACTTGGAAGACAAGGACGTTGTGACGATTCTCTGGAATGCCGTGATGGGGAGTGTGGAATGGAACAAAAAGGAGGAACTTGTTGCTGAGCAGGCTTTCAAGCACCTCAAGCACTATGCGCCAATGTTTGCCGACTTTACGGGGAACAACGCGAAGGCAGAACTCGCGTTGCTCATCAAGATTCAAGAATATTGCTACGATAACATGAGTTTCATGAAGACGTTCCATAAAATCGTGCTGCTCTTGTACAAGACGGATGTTTTGAGCGAAAATGTTATTTTGCACTGGTATCGAGAGGCTCATTCGCCGAAAGGGAAGAGTGTGTTTCTCGAGCAGACCAAGCGACTCGTTGAATGGCTTCAAAATGCCGAAGAAGGTTCGTGCTTTTTCGTTGTCGATTTTATTTTCATTTTTTCCAAGGCTCTCAAAAATTGTCGTGAAATTTATTTTTGTTTTTTGATTCTGAAAAGCTTCCGAGTTCGTGATTTCTACCACGTTTCCTGGACAATAGGATGTAGCATAATGTTCGGGATTTGCAATTGGCCCCCTTAGTCGAGTAAAATTATTCCTTCTTCTTTGACCATGATTATTTGTATATTAGATCTCAAATCTACGAGGAAGTCAATTTTATGCCTATTCCGTAGTTGCCGTGACTTCCAGTTGTTCAAATGTACAGATAGAAAATTAATGTGTACGCAGAATTTAAGGTCTTTGTGCTGATGTACAAATATTTTGCTTAGATGATCATGTTCAAATTTTGTTTCAAGCCGTTCAGAAAAGTCGTAGATAACATTCCTGAATACAGTTTTAATTGGTAAGATTGTGTCCGACGACGAAACGTGCGTTTTATTATTGCAGAAATGCGAAATGTAGACCGTCGAGGTGAACTTAATTAATCGAATTCCGGTTTTCAAGTTCTTGAAAATTTTGTAGTTGCTCAAAAATACCTCTGACTTCAAGAAAAAATCTGCAACGTACACCCTAATCTTGGTTTATTTCGAGTCGACAAATACTGAGATAAGAAATAAACTTTTGCTAAGCAGTATTAATAGTCTGTAGGGGAGCTGTTCAAACGATTTACGGTAGTGTAATACAGTATTAAATTTTCATTAGGTAGCCTCTTTTGGGTTGAAACAATGTACATTAGTTGATGATTTCGAACTTCTAAGTGAAGTGTTCGAGAAATATTGTCGTGCTGTAGCTGTGAGTAGAGAAGTTCGTGAATATTTTGAACCATTTTTTCTGCTTGTTGAGCTCTTTGTTCCATCAGAGTAACCTTAGTTGAATTAATCCGAAGTTAATCTTCTGCCTGGCTATTTTGTAGTATGCCGCCTTCATGGGCGAACATTTGTTTTACTTCGTTTCTCCGAACTTATTTCGTATTGCGTTGTGTTATTTAATTTTTTACGTACCGTAAATGGTTCTTCGGGGCATATGTTCAGGAATTCATCAGTGGATATTTGTACTGTATTCTAACATTTTTGCTGTCTAATTAGCAATTAAAGTTCGCGTCATTTCCTCTTATTCCCCTCTAGAATCTGAGGACGAAGAGGATGATGATGAGTAATGGAACCCTGAGAGACAAGGTCCTTCTTCAATGCAGACTGCCGGCTTACAAGTTCCCCTCAATGCGTTCGCGGGCGCCATTCGGGTTTTAATTGACGCATATACGTTCCCTCGATTTTTTTTTCTTTTTCCGTCTGTGTTATCACCGGATATTCTTGATCTTTAAAGAAAAGAAAAAACAAAAACGAAAGAAGTCTTACCAACTAACGGCTTAAGGTGTTTCTTTTGATCTTCTCTCGCGGCGGCGGGTCCGTTTCGGAAAATGAAAAAAAAAAGAACTATATGAAATAACGCTTCTTTTCTTTTCCTCACAAATTCCAACATTCATTCAAACACTTTTCAGGATTTGCAAACGAACATCCATATCTTCCACTTCGGTTCCGCTCACGGATATCACCTTGTGGATGTTTTCTAGATCTTGAACAGCTTTGAGGTTGTCTAGATTCTGCCACCAGTGCTGAAGAAACTTTGCAGCGACGATTTGGAACCAGGGGGTTAGTGGAATACCTCTGGATGTGCACTTGGCCAGGAATTCCTGGAAATTCTCACGCGGGATCCATTTGAAGTCCTGAACCTCGTTGGGGTTGAGTAATAATTTAACGTCTTTCCTGGCGAACAGGACGTAGTCGATTTCGTGTTCCCCCCAAACGTCGGTGGAAGGAGCCTTGTAGAGTACTCTTGTCACCACCGTGAGGTCTTGCGGGTCGAGTTGGATACCCAACTCATATTCGCACCTGCACGTGAATCGTTCATACATTAATGTGAAATTAAAAGTCGTACACATACATGATGAGCTTTTTCGCAGAATGAGCTCGAAATTGCCCTTCTTTCCGTTAGGTATAATGAATCGAGTTAGGAATAATAAAAAAGTAGACGCCATCAAAAAAGATGATTAGTGGCAAAAGCTGCTGATACGTTCATTCATTACTTTTTATGAAGAGGTTCCTTAACATGGATGAGCATTTCTGAAAAGTCAGGCCCTCATTTCTATAGAAAGGTTCTAACAAAAGTTCTTGGAATATAAATTAAAATGGCAAATCATTCAGCTGAAAAAAATTATTCATCAGGGAAAACATATTCTTTAGCGCAGCTGTCACATTGGCGGCTGTTGATGAAAATGGCGGAATTAACTTGGAAGACCTTGGAGTTGATGCCAGTTAGATTTCGAGAATTCTGAGGGCTACGACAAAATCTGCAGGAAGGATGCCTCATCTTTCGAGTGGAGAGCAAAACTCTACCAGGGTGAATTTTGCAAAACATTAAAAAAAAATTGGTCTAACAGGGCTGATTTTTTTCTTGTGCCAAAGAATATGTTCTCCCTAAAAAAAATAATTTTTCCCCAGCTCAATTATATGCCATTTTAATTTCTATTCTGAGAACTTTTGTAAGAACCCCCATATACTCAACAACTAATGGTGAAGATGTGTTCAAGAATTTATGAAAGCCATTTTAACCTGAATGGATTCATGATCCTGTCATGAGTGTTATCAATATGCAGTAATTTAATTTAATTTAAGCAATTTAATTTAATTATTGGATAGGTAAGTATCCACAAAAGGGATGAAGTGAAATAACTATCGCATCGCAAAATTTGTAAGAAAATAAAATTCTACCTTCTCACAGCAGCTCGACGAACTCCAATGAAGTCCTTCTCCTGTAGTTCCTCTTGTGTGTCCAGTGGATGACTACAACAGGTGTTGGAGTAAAATCCCGGGAACGTGATCTTGAGGAAAAACACAGATCAGTTGCATTTTTGTCTAATTCATGGTGGAATAATAATGGTAATGATCTTTTCGAGAAGAAGCGCGTGTAAGCTTACTGAAAAGTCTAACACAGCTACAGTAATTCCACTACGTTGACATTTTTGACAAACGGTAAGGTAATTTGCAAAGAATCAAAAGGATCTTACTTGCTTTCTTAAATATTCCCACATCTTCGAACGGGATTTATTATTACAATGACATATTAGCCATGAAGGCTTACTTTAATTATTTCTTATTCAAAATCTCACGTGATACCATGTAATTAAGAAAGAATTTTCACATACGTGATTCGCATAGAAACTTCGTTAGTTTCTGCACGTCATTCGTAACTTACAGAATTTTCTACATTTTTCTGTCATTAAAGTAAAAATTCAGATAGGAAGACGTATATCGTATGTTCGAATGAATACTGCATTGTAAAACTTCCTGTTCAGACGCAATCCCATGAAGCAAGAGATAAGAAGTGAATTCACCTCATAAGCTTTAAAGATAAGGATTCAAGTTGGTAAACATTCACAGTACAGTACTTTATGCAGATGGAATCGAAATTCAACCTGTGTTCGTTTAGGAACTTCGCAAAATTCGTTATACAGTCCCGAAAAATCATGTAAAATCAAGATATCCTGAAGAATAACTGTTAAATTTGTGTTACATATCAGTCCGGGATAGTCAAATCCGAAATTTCACCGTTAAAGTAGAAAAGTTTTCCTGAGTGTCAGTATGTGATAAAACAAAAACAAATTTGATCACTGAAATCCATTTTGTTCTGTAGGGCCACGAATTCAAAGGAGCAGTGACAGCATAAGTTAAAAAAAAATGAAAACAAAACATTTCAATGGCTTTTTTTCCTTTTGTTAAATTGACATAAAATATATGGAATTTACAGATAATACATTCTTGAGACAACAAAAAATTTAACTGAACAATTTTTTACACATTGATAGAATCTCAACTGTGTTGAAATTACTCCCTGATTTCCTCAATTTTTTCACTTGAAAGTCAGAAATGAGGATTCAAAAATTTCGCATGCGTGCATTTTTCAAGTTCTCCCGAGTCGTATTCATTCCAACATAAAAAATTGTAAGAACATGATGCAATGACCTCTTCAAATGCTTAACCATAATCATAAAATCTGAATCCTAAGCAGGAAAATGCTGAAGGCGTTCTCAAGAAAACAACGCAAATATAGCAGAGGTCAGAGAATTTTCCGAACATTCAAAAATGGTTCTACTACGTGAGACTTATAAGAACAGTTACCACAGAATAATATTTAACATTGAATGTCATTTTAGGTCAAGGATGAATATGAGATCCAAAACGTGGTGACCTGCAGAACTGGCAGAGGAGCGACACCTCAACTTCAACGCTGCAACTGATCACGCGAGAAGTCCCATATCACAATTGAAGGACCGATTGAATATACTTTATTACGGTACATAATTTCGTACTGTAATACAGTATTGTATTCAACTTCAATTCCCAATTGAAAATCTTCGCATTTCTCTGTTTGAACTGCGATTTATATGCATAATCATAGGATAAATATGGGTGTGGGAAACGGAAAATCTATAATAAAATGACTCAACCTTTTCTGTCTCTCATTTACATTATGCAATAACTGGTACACGGGCGAGGTCTGATTTATGTTGCGTGTGGATCAGATATGAAACAATTTGATCAGTTTATTCATTTAGATGATTAGATTGTACAGCTGAACCTCAGTACCTACCCAAGTCAAATTTATTTTCAAGTCCTTGTCTGAATTCCCTCATAGGACCAATGCATTAAAAAACATCTCCAACTCTAAGGCATTTCCTCTCAAACCTCTAGAACTCAAATTTTTCAAGGCCTTTTGGTTATTATTTTCGTGACACACCAGGAATGAGAAAATCAATAAAAATGTAACTTGATGTGTTTTTAAAGGAACTGGAAGATTAATTGGGCAAAGAAAACCTTGCTTCCAAGTTCAGCATCCTGTCAACTCATTCAAGAGGCAATTTAAGGACCAGAATATCACAATTTCCCACACCAAAAAAATATTGTTTCCCAAACTCAAAGTTTTTTTACTGCTCCCTTGAAATTCAACTTAGGGAGGTTCGAATGTGAAATATTTTAAAATTTTTGAACGCATTCCGCGCAGATGTGAGAAACGCCAGTGGCTTCTTCTCATGGCGCCTCAACCACCACCACCACACCTTGGTCATGGCCCGCTGCTGGACCAGCATCTCGCCCTTCCCATTGAAGAGGAACACTGAGAAGGCGCGGTGCAGGGGACACGACCCGTTTTGCCACAAATGGCAGTCTCGCTTGGTCGCCGATCCAGTCACAGCATCTCGCTCTGTGACCAGCAAACACCGTTCTTCCAACAATGCCCGTTGGCAGGGATTCAGCTTGGACTCGTCCAGCTCAGGTTGGGTGTTGAACGGGAACCGGAACAAGCGGCGCAAGAAGGAAGCGCTCGTCAGCAGGCGCGGAGTCGGAAACATTTCTTCTTCCGTCGGTTTTTCTTCTCTCCCCTGCTGCACCACACACCCCGTCCACTTCCTGTGAATGAAATCGCGACCGGAAGCTTGAAGATGAGTGCAGTACTGGACGGAATTTCCGAACCAAGGGGAGTTATCAAGCAGCGACCTCTACCGGCAAGCAGCGCATTTTCGGCGGTTACAGAGAAGTTCGCAAGTGCACACATTTTTCAAGATCACGGGAACAAACAGTAGGCGAACTTGAATTTTACTGCAGGCAACTTTTCTTCAAGAGACAATCTTTGGGAATNATCTTGCTTTCTTAAATATCCCCACATTTTCGAACGGGATTCATTATTACAATGACATATTAGCTATGAAGGCTTACTATAATTATTTCTTACCATTCAAAATCTCACGTAATACCATGTAATTAAGAAAGAAGTTTCAAATACGTCATTAGCACAGAAAAGTCGTTAGTTTCTGCACTTCATTCGTAACTTACAGAATTTTCTACATATTTCTGTCATAAAAGGAAAAATTTAGATAGGAAGACGTAAATCGTATGTTCGAATGAATACTGCATTGTAAAACTTCCTGTTCAGACGCAATCCCATGAAGGAAGAGATAAGAAGTGTAATTCACCTCATAAGCTTTAAAGATAAGGATTCAAGTTGGTAAACATTCACAGTACAGTACTTTATGCAGATGGAATCGAAATTCAACCTGTGTTCGTTTAGGAACTTCGCAAAATTCGTTATACAGTCCCGAAAAATCATGTAAAATCAAGATATCCTGAAGAATAACTGTTAAATTTGTGTTACATATCAGTCCGGGATAGTCAAATCCGAAATTTCACCGTTAAAGTAGAAAAGTTTTCCTGAGTGTCAG